GTACTTTAAAGTGCATAAATAAGTTACCCGGGCAATTGATTTGCACAAGCCAATCAGACGAATTTCAGCCCATGACCTGTTTCCTGTTTGTTTGTTGTGATATAAAATTGTTCCGGGATTGTCCCGAATTTTCCTTTTTTTGGTTATATTACTACGCCTAATGAGATTTTTTAACCGGCCCACGATTATTCGGTCCCCGATCTTGAAATTAGTCCAAACTTGTCTTCAAAAAATATATAAAAAATTTATTTAAAAAAGGTCAATTAAATGATTAGACTTTTAAATCACGGGGGACAACAGGAGGAACCATCAATGTTGCACAACTAATCTCTCACCTGATGCGCGGTTCATAAAAAAATTATTTTACAATATTGGATCACTCTACCGTCAATGTTATAGATAATCCTTCACTTGTTGGATTAGTTGTGCAACATTGACGGTTCCTTCTGTTTTGTGGGACCGTGAATGGACCGGTCTTATTAAAGAATGAAACGGACTGATTGAACTGTTACATCCCTATAAAATATTAGCTCAAAATTAATTATATATTGATTGAGTTGTTGGATTAGATATATCCCGCACAGATAAAACCTAGAAAAATGCTCATCTCTTAAAAAAATAACCCGAGCAAATTCTGAATAAGATTTTAAATTTTTTTTTATAGGGGCTGTATCTTTATTATTTTATAATACAGTATTTATTTAATGTTCTATTTATTGAAATAATTGTCATAAAGAACTAACTTTAATGAAGCAATGAGGCTTAGATACGAATTTACCTGAAACGTTAGAGAAATATCCACAAAATCAAGGTTGTCACTTTTTTTATATTATTCCGCAGACAAAATGATCATGATAATTTATTAATCGTTGCATATTTTATAAATAAAGGTCAATTCGACAACATCAAAAAAGAAGTCAACCAAATTCGTCACGGTGCAAAATCTAACAACATCCAACTTGATAAATTGGTAATGTACTAAACAAGGTTGCATTTTTTCATATAAACATGATTAAAAATTTTAACATAGTACAAAATAAATAGGGTAATAATTTAATTTCTTTGATGGCTGGTATGAAACCCTTTACAGTAAAAATATTGCAAGTTACTGATGATGAATATGATGAGTTGCTTAAGTCATCAGAAAAAGAACTATCTGAGTCCGAATTTTATCATATATGATTTGTGTCTATGCAAACAAAGTTGTTGTTAATAATTAGATAATAATTCAAAAATAGTACCTTAGTTTTAACCCAACAGGGAATATTAAATATCCTAATTTTGTCTCTAGTTTAGCCAATATATTTCATAATTCACTCCAGTCTGATTTGGGATTAAACCGGAGTATAACAACTCTATTTGCTAATATCATATTAACTAATTTATGACATTTATTTATTTATTTATTAAATATAACGTCCAAATGTTTCATTATAAATTTGATTTTAATGAACTGCTTGACTGATAATTCTTAACAATATTTACATATTATAAAATACATGAAATATAGTTAGAGTAGCATTAAAGCGCATGAGCTGTGCTCACAACATATATTGTTTAGAATTAAGATTAGATGCTAGATGGCTAAATGCATATGAAGATACAATTAGGCCTAGTTTAATTCAATAAAAATTTTATTAAGTCATTCGTATATGAAGATTACTTTGAGTCTCCAACTGCCGATTCTCAATGGGGTATGGATAATTATACATGTTATACATCAATTCACGATTTTGTTGATTTTAAATTATTTTAGAATTTATACCGATTGGAATGTGACGTATGTCAAATTTAATACACGGATTTTAATATTGAATACATAGAGAAAACATATAAATAAAATTAAATTTTAACTTATCTCTCTTTCGTCAAATATAGCTTCAAATAAATTCGCTAGTTTTTTTGATAAATAGTTAATGATCATATGAATATTATGAATCGTTCAAAATGTAATCGTTTGTTAATAAAATTCGAAGTTCAAATATTGGGATATTCATACGTTTGTGGTAGTTAAAAGTTGAAAATATTGAAGAGCTAAATATTAAAACTGAAGACATAATCATGATACGCAAGTTTTCCCTATTACCGTACAGCGCTGCATACAGTACCCCTTAGATAGTACCCTTTAAATAGTATTAGGATTCTATTCAATTATAGATTTTTGACATTTTTGAAAAATATCCCGGTATTAATCAAGTAGCCGAATCAATGGTCCTGTTATACAATCAACTCATATTACCGTATTTTCGTGTAATAACGTCCGTGGGCATTATTCAGAAAATTGTGCTCCCTAAAATGGCTGCTTCGCCACTCAGTGTCAGTTAATAGACAAATAACTATTATACTTACCATCTAAATAGGTTTGGGTAAAAAGAGATTTAAGAAGCGATCTATCGATTAGCACGGGTTACTTTGAATATCAAGGTTTAGGAGAAATTTACCTTTGTCACAAAAAAACCCATGCGCGTGAGTCATCCAGGACAGTCATAAAAAACACAGTGACGTAGTCATGGCGCAGCCGGACTAAATTACGCGAAGTTCTACTAATGAAACTACAGCTACCCATTAAGTAAAAATATTCACAGATCAATTTTACCATGAAGGCGACAAAATTTTTCTTTTTGAATTAAAAAATTTTTCAAAAAAATGATTTTCGGCCAAATTATAATTTTGAAGATCATCAGCCAATGCAGGCCAACTGTCTAATTATGTCACAGCGCGTACTCTAAATAACGCGCATATACTCAAAATAACGCGCAGATGGGCGTTATTACGCGAAAACACGTTATTAATATTCCCTTCAATATATCCTCCTCATATAGTACCCACCTCTCACACAGTACCTCCGGTATTATTTAATTTATCTTGACATTGTTGAAAAAGACCGGGGTACTGCAGCGCTGTACAGTAATGATTTTTATACTGTAATTTATGGCAGCCAAGAAAAACATAGATAATGGTAATATTTTTTAATTAAACAATTTTGTTAATTCACAATTTATATCAAGTTGGATATGAATTTGGAATCTTAGATGGTACCTTGCAAATAAATCGAAACCATTAGGCGTTAACGAATATCTAGCACTCGATATTATTCCATTTGGCACTTTCATCTTAAGAAATATCGCGACATGGCAAAGTTTGGCACAACCTCTACACGCGATTAAAACAATCCAATGATTTA